TATAAGAATTAACCAACCCAACAGCACACTTAACCAGGAGCGTATTTTTATAGATTGGTTAACTGTGTTATACATTTTCAAATGTACAGCCTCGATGTCAAATGAGGCAACTATGCCAATCAGTGCAGATAATTCACAATACCTGAGTATTCCCAAAAGCATGCCTAAGGGCAAGTGTTATAACTCTGACAACACTTTGCCCCTCCTACATCTTGGCTCATTGTCAAAGCGTACCGTTCTGCATCACATTTCTAGCAGATTTTGGTATAGGTATGCTTATGGACCAACTACAACATAATTGTGTTAATTTTTTTCTTCTGATATAACTTTCCTGTTTCATATTTCAAGACATATTTTATACTATCAACTTTATTAATGTTTATTTAGAAAAAAGACAGGTCTTCATCAAAAAGAATCATAGAAACGTAGGACTGAAAGGCACCTCGAGAGGTCATCTAGTTTAGTCTGGTCCACTCATGGCAAGACTAAGTATTATCTAGAAGACCATCCGTGACAGGTGTTTGTCTAACCTGCTCTTAAAGATCTCCAATGATGGAGATTCCACAAGAAGAGGATCTCATAAACATTTGTTTTTCAATGCTGATGTAGTAAAAAATGAACTAAAAGGGAAGTATAAGCCTGCTACACGAATTTAGCTCAGAGTCACATAACTGGCCAGGAACATGATGTTAAAAAGACCTGTTCTACAGACCCTAGGGCTGTAAACTAAAGAACTAGAGCCAGTACTAATTTCAATGGGCTTCTTGTGCAGGATCAAAGTGGAAATAAATTTAGTTGTTTTGAATTATCTTTAACTAAAAATTAAAGCTTCAACAGCAGTCTTTTACAAGATTCACATACTCTCCCTCTTTCTTTTAAGCAGAGATTTTTCTGAGCTAGAAGAACTGGACTCTAATAATATTGAATATTTTGTTGACAAAACTTTTGTTGGCATCTGCCATGAATGGATTAATTTTGTATTTATTTTATATTATGTCATAAATACACAGTGTGAAGTGTTACTGGTTTGTCTTTAGCAACTGGATCAGCTAAAAGGTCTTAAGAAGGCTAGTCACAGTCTGAATGGAAAGCATGACAGTTGAGTCCCTGGTCATTCCTTTGCTCCAGGGAGAAGACAGCTGCATCAGCCCTTCACCTGGTGTGTATTACCTTCCCGTCTGCATCTGCTCTGCAAGCACCTTATGGGGCTAAGTAAAGTTTCTACTCACGGCACACCTTTCCCAGCCTATCTGCACAGGGAGGAGAGAAGGCTGCTATCCTCCCACACAGTAACCCACAGTGTAGACAGCATACACATGGAACTAGGGGGTGATTTTATTCTTCTTATGCAAGCATGTAAGACTTTAATATGACGTTGTAGGCGTCTAGCATGGAAATGTGTGCAAAGTAATCTACTCATACTTTGCTTAGTCCCTGCCCCAAGGAATTTACAGCTATCTTTTTTGTTCTATGTTGCACAGTACCTAGCACTATGGGGCTTTGGTCCATAACTGGTTCTCCTACGTACTACTGCAAATACAAATACTACATTTTAGTTAGTTTACTTACTATCGTCATTTTGATATAGCAAAGATCATGAGTTGCTTAGATTCTTGTGCAATTTTAGAGTGCATATTAACTGTGAAACAATTAAGAGAGGCGAGTGCACTAATCATTACTTTAAGTACAGAACTCACAGTACTATAAACAAACCCTCTAACTTTCTAGTATTATCTGAGCAGATAAAGTACCATCATTCTGCATGTTTCTGGAAGTAGAGGTTTCACAAGTGAATTAATAGGGAAACTTGGTTATCTATGCCAGCCAAGCTTAATCTTAAGCAACAGAATCTTCAGTTTCCACTTGCAGAGAAGAATAAATTCTTAAAAAAAAGATTTTCTACACAAACTGATCTCTGAAGGACAAATGCATTGAATTAATGAGATTTCATTTCACAGTATAAAATATGCTTAAGGCAATAATTTGGTACCAAAGGTACTGTACATAAACTGAATGTACAGAATGCTACTCATTTCTGACTTTGGTGTATCAAATGACTCTGATCTGCCACTGTTTCACTCAGTATGACAGCAAAATTTGACCCTCAAACCCCTTCAACACAATGGAAAAAAAAAGTACAGGTTTTGAGCAATTGAGGTGACTTTGGGTAGGAACCTGATCTCAATTACTCTGCTGTAAACCAAAAACAAATCTATTATATGTTTCTCTCACACAAACATAGCTGAAATCAAGTGAACTGGCAAAGAAATACTGAACCTAGTAGAGTTCTGAACAGACCCATGACAGGTTTGAAACAAGTATGCAGAAAAACGTGTATTGTATTGAAAAGGCAAATACAACTGTGATGCTGGATCTTCACTAAAGCAACTATTAAGTATGCTTGATTACCTTAAAAACAAACACTTCGATCTTGATTAAATGGTTAAAGTTTGTCTGCACGTTCCTTGTGAGAGAAGAAATAATTGAATACGTAGAAAAAGTCACTTGAGAGTCATTTACTGTATTTAATTTTAAATACTTTCTTCAGAATGGGTTAACTATAAAATAACCTGAATATTTTAAGATAGAAGCAATGACTAAACAATCTTGTGCTGGGAATCTTTATACCAGAAACTGTTTAAATCTATCAATGAAAAATAAAGGATCAACAAATTTTTATTTATAGAATGGACTGCTGAATATTTTGTAATCCCACCTCAACTATAAAGCATTACTACTTCTCCACTGAAGTACTAAAAGATAATTGTGACTATTTTTAAAAAGGTAAAATAAACTGATTACTATAATGCAAGAAATTGAATATGGAAATTCAACAGAAATTGCTAATTTCATCAGTTTACAATTTGACATATAGCAGAAATGTTGCTGGGGAGCCACACCTAGGGTTACACAGTAGCATCCACCCACAAAGTAGTTACCTCCTGCTCCACCGTCAGAACAGATGCATTTGTGGGGGTTAATGGCCAGCCAGAGGGGATGGGAAATCCCTCTGATCAGCTTGCTCTCAAGGGAAAATTGCAGGGAAAATGGTACCAGAGTTAAAATATGTATCAAACAGGCATATCGTATATTGTAAAAAGTTCAAACTGAGGTTAATGTAGATGGTAAATAGTTCTTCCTGTGTGTGTGTGCACACGTGCACACACCCGCATGTAGACAGATATATATCTATTAACAGGGTGGATTTGATTTAAATCACTAGTAAGGAAGACTTGATTTAATCATGGTTTTCTACATTAAAGCGCATTCTTGTTGGTTGTTATAACCTTAATATATATTCTTCACAACTCAGAGATAGATGTAGGTTTTATTTTTAGAAGGTACACACTATACATTTTTAAACAGTGATTTATTTTGAAAACTTTTCAGATTAGTTTTACAGCTGTATCAGAAAATTAATGATTGTTTGGTTATTTCATTTATCAAATGTAACTGAAGCAGATATTTATGAAGTCACTGGGAGGTGAACTATCTCCAATTCAACAGGTTAATCATTAATATTTGGAGGACTTTCTTGCCATGCTGTATTAGAAGGAGAACATTACCATACAGACATTTAAATTGTTTTATTTAACTAAAACTACAAGGTTAAGTAGTTTCTGGATTGTTTTCTTCAACAGCAAACATAATATTTTAACAAAAAAGCGTATGTCCCTCTCTTCTCACATTTATCTCCAGACTTCTGCTCCTTGTCCAGATCTATTCCACCCCCAAGAATCTTCTATTCATTGAACTTTTCTGAAACTTTGCACTTTTAGAGAGAGGTAAGGGATTAACTCTGTGTACACAAATTTGCAGAGGGACAATAGAGTTGAGGTCTCTTTATTTCTCACCTCTATATATTATTTATTTAAAAACATTTTTGCTGAAACACAAATCCACAGTTTGAAAACTGCAAAACTAAGCATCTCTGAGGGTATCTTCTAGACTAAGCCCTGAGTCCCATTGGGTAGATAGAAAGATTAACCTAAATAATCGATACAGAAGTCCCTGGAACCCCATAAAATTGGGTCCCTTATCCATGAACTATTGGAACTCATTTACAAAACTTTTCTTAAACATGACATGAATATATGGTCTCATACTATAGAATTAGAATTTATAATCCCTATTCCATGATAGGGTTTCTTAATTAAAACTATTTTTAGATCGGATTTTTTTGATAAAATGCTCTTGGAGGAAAAAAACCTATTTAATTTTTTTTTAAATCATTGATTTTTTTCCACCCTGACTACAAATATACCACAAAAGGAAGAAGAATTACAATTATTAACTAAATAGTCTTGTACCCCAACCAGATTGTTTCAGCCCAGGTAAAATTCCACACTGGAAACAGAATTAAGGCTCTTATCTTGGTCTTTCTTGTGAAGAAAGTTGATTACTCAAATACTGCAGAAATAACAATATTGAGTCTCTCAACAGGTACAAATTGCATTATTTGTAAAACCTTGGGACATGAGTTGATTATTAATGCAGTCAAACTTGTTCCGGGTCTCTTCTTTTTAATTTTATTTTTAATATCACCGCCAGCCCCCACACAGCTGTTCGCGCCTCTAAATAGCAAGTCACTAGCCCTGCGGCAGGGACAGGTCCCCCGCGCCCGGACCCTCACCTTGGCGGCAGCGAAGCCATCGGGCCAGCGCACGCTGCTGAGCAGGGCGAAGAGCAGCAGCCCCAGGCAGCCCCCGCGGGCCATTTCAGCAACAGCGCGCCCGGCCCGGCCACCCCGCGTCCCGCGGCGCCCAGCAGCGGCCGCTCCGCCCGCACTCCAGGGCTGGGGTCTCTCGGGAGGAGCCGGGGCGAGGCCTCTGGGCGAAGGGGGCGGTGGATGCCCCTGCGAGGCGCCGCGGGGCGGGAGAGGCCGGGCCGGGCCGGGCGAGGAGCCAGCCAGGGATTGGGCGCCCCACCCCGGCGCTGGGGGCAGACGGGCCAAGCGGCAGGAGCTGCGCGAAGGGGCGGGGGCCCAGGCTAGCGGGCATCTCTGGAGTCTTTTCCGCCGCAGCGACTCTGCCTCCGCCTGGAGTCCCTCCGCAGCAGCCCTGCCCGCGGGCCCGGGAGAGCCGCCCGATGCCCAGCGCGGGGCTTCTTCTAAACGCCCCTACCTGGTGGGTATAACACAGAGCGGGGCGGCGCCGCTGCCCTGGGGCTTGGCTGGGATCCAGCCCGGAGTGTCTCCTCATCAGCCTCACCTGCCCCTCGCTGCTAAACGGCATCGTGTGTAAGGGGGCAGGCGGGGGTGAGGTAGTATCTTGTATGGACCAGCTCCTGGTGCCCGCCGGAGAGCTCGCCTTCAGGCGGAGGACCCATAGCAGCCTTTGGGAACATTAATCGTCATGCTTTGAGAGATAAGGAAGAGCTGAATGCCCCTAGTTTGCAGGCAGTGTTAGTGGCGCCCTGCCCTGCTGGGCATGTTCAAAATCTTGCCCATAGTCACCCCTGTGCAGGGCCGGATTAACCTTTGATAGGCCCGGCGCCAAACATATTTGGGGGCCCCCATGGAGGCAATGGAGCATGGCACAGGTGGCCCCGCTCCGCCCAGCCCAGTGCAAGGGCACTATTTACAAACTGGCACTATTTACAAAGTGCCCCCCCCCAGCCCTGTGCTGCCAGCATGCCCCTTCTGCTTGGGGGCAGGCCATAGGCGCCAACTTCTGCTCCCGCCGGTGGGTGCTCGACAGGGCAGAAGTGCTGGGAGGGAGGGAGAGGAGCAGGAACGCGGCGTGCTCAAGGGAGGAGGTGGGGAAGAGGCAGGGGAAGCTTGGCTGCTGGTGGGTGCGGAGCACCCGCTAATTTTTCCCCATGGGTGTTCCAGCCCCAGAGCACATACACAATCGGCACCTATGTGGCAGGCCCATGCCATGCCTCCCAACCCCCCCACCCCTGACTGCCTATGGCCAGAGCTCCTCTGGACCCACTATGCCCAACCCCCCCCAACAGATGCACAGCGCCCTGCACAACACCACCCCTGCCCAGCGTCCCCTGCCCACAGTCCCACCACAACTGCCCAGCACTCCACACAGGACACCCCACTCCCTTGTGGCCCAACGTGCACAGATCTTCCCCACCCCCTCACAGCCCAGCACCCTCCACCCAGATCCTTCAGAGACCCACTCCCTCATGCTCTGCTTCCTGGCTGCACTCACCGGCCCTTCTGGGAGGCGACTGTGTCTGCTGGGCTGAGCCAGCAGCACAGCCAGGGCTGGTCTGGGGTGAGGAATCGCTCTGGCCCCTCAGGAGTGGCGTGATCAGCCAGGACAGGGCCTGCCCTGTCCGGGCTCCCTCAAGATGTATTTGCCTGGAGAGGCCCAGCCAAGCCCCCTACACTGCCCCCACAGCTGGCCAAGACTGGCCAGGCTTCTGCACCAGTCCCAGGTGCTCAGCTCCAGGGAGACAGGTGGGGCCCCGTAAGGGGTGGGAAGCAGAGATTGCCCGGAACTGGAGGTGCACTGGTGTCTGGCCAGGGGGCAGAGAAGAGCAGGGGAGTGGGGCCAGGGGGCGGATAGGAGCCATTGGCCAGCTGGCGGGCAGGCCAAGAGAAGCAAGTGGTGAGCTGGGGACGCAGTGCAAGGGGAGCAGCCCGGGGCCTCTTCTGAGCATGGGCCACTGGCGCCATTGTAAATCCAGCACTGCCACTGTGGTTTAATTACCTGATAACTTCACGTTGCTTAACTATTTACTTGTTTCTAATGCAGCCAATGGCTTGTCTTTTCCTGGCGTCACCATTCCTTTAATTCTTTCCACAAACTTTTTGGCTATATACAATCTGTGGTATTTGGAAAACAAAACAAAGACATTTAAACACTGAAAAGACTGCATGCAATCAGGCAGAAAGCTAAAATATATTAAACATGATTATAGTAAATTATTTCAATTTTGGTTTATGGAGTATAGATTGGTGTGTATATATATTTTAATATTTTAAAATACATTTTCTGTATTGAGTGTACATATAGTTAATGAACTGGACTGGTACATTTGTTTAGTTTGATCCTGCAAACCCTTATGCATGTGAATAACTTTACACACAGTCCAGCTGAACTCAGCAGGACTACTTGTGCATAGTTACTCCCAAGCATAAAGACTTGAAGAATCAGGACCATATTGTGTATTGTAGTTGTTGGCCAAGAATTCCCCGCCCCCCCACCGAATTTTAGATATGTGCATGTCCAAGTCATTAAGGGCTGGGCTGTAACTTTATAATTCCACTCCAGCAAGACCCAGCATGTAGCCATGCTACCTCAAGAACAGGGCAGGAACCAAATTGTTAGTGAGTGCCAGTCTGGCCCCTGCTGCTTTCTTCTTCTGGGGGAAAGTCAGTTGCACCAGATATCTTGATGCTATAATTCACTTATCCCGCTGCATGGGCTCAGTTGTGCTAGATGATACATTGTGGGGGTAGATGCAAGGCTCTCCCTATTTCCCCCTCTTCTTGGTCACCTGAGCATGATGGGGAGTAGCAGTGGGGGTGGGGGTGGCTGCTTTCCTCACATTCTAACTTTGGAGATGGGGGGGGGGCGTAAAGTCCTTATCTGCCCCCTGTGGACAGGTAGCCAGGGTTACTGGTGAGTTTAAAACTGATGAAATTACAGAGTACATTGGCAATTACCGGATGGCATGTAACCCATTACATGTATTCCTTTTCAGCTGATAGTCATTTCAAACCTATCTGAATATTTAAACATTTACTACTTTTTAGATTTCAGAGTAGCAGCCATGTTAGTCTGTATCCACAAAAAGAAAAGGAGTACTTGTGGCACCTTAGAGTTTGTGTTTTGTAGTGGGTTTGGTACTGCAGTTTTAAATTAATTTAGCTCTTTCTTTCTACCAGGTGGCTAATGACAATTTTTTCAGTGCAACAAATCCATGGGGTAAGTGATTTGGATGCTAATTTTAGACAATCAGTCAATGCTACACACTTCAACCAGGTAGCATTCCCTACCAAGATGAATATATCTGCTTAGTAGTACAGAGCTGTGTCTTTCCCCACATCCAATCTGTGGCCAAATCCTATTACTTGTCCCTCCACAACATTTCTAAACTCCTCCCTTTCCTTTCTGGCCTGTGGCCAAGATGCTTGTCCATACCATAACTACTGTAATCTTCTGCTGTCCAGTCTCATTAATACTGACCTGCCACATCTGTCCAAACCGTGCTACCAAAATCATCCTTCTTACCTTTTGCTTCGAGCATGTCACCTGCCTTTTCTAATCACTTCAGTGGTCCCCAATCTTCCCTCTAATTTTTCCCATGCATGTGCGGAATGAATTTTGTTACGTGCACCAATATGGAGGTGATGTGTGGTGGGGCCCAGGGGTTTGGAGTGTGGGAGGGGGCTCAAGGCAGGGGCAGAGGGTTGGAGCATGGGGCAAGGGGGAGATGAGGGCTCCAGTTGGGGGTGCAGGGTGTGGGAGGGTGCTCAGAGCTGGGGCAGAGGGCTGAGGCATGGTGGGATGAGGGTTCCAGATGGGGGTGCAGGCTCTGGGTTGGGGCCAGAGATGAGGCATTTGGGGTGCAGGCTGTCCCAGGGCCGCAGCAGGGAGAGAGGTCTTCCCCCCAGCCCTCTCTCACTACAGCAGCTCTGGAGCTGGGGGAGAGCGTGTCTCCCCTGCCGCGGCAGCTCTGGAGCTGGGGCCGGGGGAAGGCGCAAAGCCCTTGGTAGGCTGCTTACATTTGGAATGCCCTTACCTTTGGAGTGCCCATCTGAATTTGTTTGCCAACCCACATACTTCACCTCATATGAATACCAACTAAAAACTCACTTTTGGCATGAAGCCATGAAAGGGGGAGGATATGTAACCCCTCCAAAAAAGAGCAGAACACAAACTATCAAGGCATATATATGCCTTACTGAGTAATCACGGAACCACCCTGCTACTCTTGTCCTTCCTCTAACTTTTATTTTCCTATCCTATTAAATATAGACTGTATGTGTAACCCACTCGAGCACAGTATCAACCCTTTCCCCTTTCTAGAGGCTGGTTCACATAAGTTAAAAGCTTATTACTTCTACTTGCTAGAAGAGTATTCCTGTATCTCAAGTGATAGAATCTCAGGCTTTTAGTGCTGAAGGACTTGGCATCAGACCCTGCCAAGAACCAAATGTGGAGTCATTAAATATGCTTCCTGGGGAAGGGAACATGTCCACTATATTTTGAAGTGACTGATACATTTTGGGGTACTAAAAACAAAAAAAAAAATTGTTTAAGGAAACAGTTTTTAATCTTTTTATCCCAAAGACAATAAAATAATATTTTGATAGAATCCTTATTTATTCATATTTTAGAGCAAATTTGAGAAGAGTTTACAAAAATCTTTAATTGTAATTTAATCTAGATACTGAAAGCCAGAGAAAATTGAAGGAATTAACTTGGAAGTTAGCAGAATGAATTCAAAATTGCCAAACCAGTTAGTCATTACCATTAAGATATCAATATTAACAATTTGAGATACTACATTAGGATTTTTTTATGCAATAGGAAATAAAGAAACACTATTAAGGTTGCAAGGTGAGGCACTCAAAAGTTTGTAAATGCTAGAATTAAGATAGGCTTTGCAACCTTAATTCTGTCCCAGATGCTTTATAATGTAGACATACATTATCTCTTACTGTTTTTCGTCACAGCATTCCTCCCTCATGGAGTTCACAGTACATGCCTTGCTCAATATTTCTTTTTAGCTTCATCCTCCAGTATATACCTTCATTCATTATTTAGGCTGCAGTTCAGCAAGGTGCTGAAGCAGGTGTCTAACTTCAAGTGTACACAAATAGTCAAGTGTACTGAAGTCACTGGAACTAATCGTATTTAAAGTTAAGTATATATTTCAAGTACCTTGCAGAATTGGGGGCTTACTGCACATCATCCAAACCCCTCTCTGAGTAAGAATTTGTTAATTTATTCTTTACCATGGCACTCTTCTTTGTAGACTGAGTTTCTCAAATATTAGTAAATCTATTTTCATAATTACTCTGAGAGGTAGGGAAGTACTATTATTCCTATTTGTTATCCCCATTTTACAGATAGGCAACTGAGCTACAAAGAGATTAAAGCCCAACTTTGCAGAAGAGGACACTAACTTTGGGTGCCCAACTCAACATTTATGGTCTGATCTTTTCTCCCCAGAGGTGCTGAGCATCCACACCTCCCATTTAATTCAGTTGGATGTGAGTGCTCAGACTGGGTATCCAGAAAATGGGAAACACCTAATTAGTGGCTACTTCCAAAATATTTACCCTACATTACATTGGAAGTATGTGGCAGAACCAGGATGCAACCCAGTTCTCACAGGTCCCTGCTTAGAGATTTAGCCATAAGACATCGTTTCTCTTCCAGCAACCCCTACCACATACACTTGGACTCATTGTTGAAATCAGTGGGACTACTTATAGAGTAAGGTACTACTCAGCTGGAGTTAGGGTGGCAGAATCTAAGCCCAGGTTACTAAATCTACTGCTCCAGGTCTCCAAAGGATTCAAAAATAACTGCAAAGATGTCACATTTTTCTAATATATATAAAATGTAAGGAAGGTAAAGAAAACATTTTAATAGTTTAAGTTGTTTAAATAAAGGAAATTTGCAGATATCCTACTTATGATAGAGGTAAAATTGGAAATAGGTATCTTGTATAAAAAAAGAGTATCACCTGAGGGATGTATATAACTATTGGTTTGGGTTTTTTTGTTCTCGGTGTCGTGCATCCTCAATGTTCTAAGAGTCTGGTCACTACAGAAAGCAGCTGTCATTTTCTGAGGGCAAAAGGTGCTTATTCTTATCTCATCAGAAAATGACCACAAAATAGGACACTAAATCTCTGTGCAGTTAACACGGTCATATAAATTAGTGTTAGAGAAGCAATGTTAAGACAGTTTTATTATGAGGCAGTTTATGGTAATTTCTAATAAGTAGGGCTGTCGATTAATTGCAGTTAACTCATGCGATTAAATAAACTAATAATTGCAATTAAAAAATTAATATTGCACTGTTAAACAATAGAATACCAATTGAAATTTATTAAATATTTTTGGATGTTTTTCTACATTTTCATATATATTGATTTCAGTTACACAGTATACAAAGTAGACAGTGCTCACTTGTTTTTTTATTACAAATATTTGCACTGTAAAAATGGCAAACAAAAGAAATAGTATTTTTCAATTCGCTTCATACAAGTACTGTAGTGCAATCTCTTTATGGTGAAAATGCAACTTACAAACGTAGATATTTTTGGTAACATAACGGCACTCAAAAACAAAACAATATAAAACTTCAGAGCCTGCAAGTCCACTCAGTCCTACTTCTTGTTCAGCCAGTCTCTAAGAGAAACACGTTTGTTTACATGTACAGGAGATAATGCTGCCTGCTTCTTATTTACATCACCTCAGAGTGAGAACAGACATTCGCATGGCACTTTTTTAGCCGGCATTGCAAGGTATTTACGTGCCAGATATGCTAAACATTCGTATGTCCCTTCGTACTTCAGCCACCATTCCAGAGGACATACTTCCATGCTGCTGATGCTCGTTAAAAATAATGCATTAATTAAATTTGTGGCTGAATTCCTTGGGGGGGAAAATAGTATGTCTCCTGTTCTGTTTTACCCACATTCTGCCATATATTTCATGTTATAGCAGCCTTGGATGACGAGCCAGTACATGTTGTTCATTTTAAGATTTTCACTGCAGATTTGACAAAATGCAAAGAAGGTACCAATGTGAGATTTCTAAAGATAGCTACATCACTCGACCCACGGTTTAGGAATCTGAAGTGCCTTCCAAATCTGTGAGGAACAAGGTGTGGAACATGCTTTCAGAAGTTTTAAAAGAATAACACTCCGATGTGGAAACAGAACCGAACCACCAAAAAAGAAAATCAACTTTGTGCTGATGGCATCTGACTCAGATGATGAAAATGAACATGCGTCAGTCTGCACTGCTTTGGATAGTTATCAAGCAGAACCCGTTATCAGCATGGACACATCTTCTGGAATGGTGGTTGAAGAATGAAGGGACATATGAATAGTTAGTGCATCTGGCACGTAAATATCTTATGATGCCAGCTACAACAGTGCCATGCGAACGCCTGTTCTCACTTTCAGGTGATATTGTAAACAAGAATTGGGCAGCTATCTCCTGCAAATGCCAACAAACTTGTTCGTCTGAGCGATTGGCTGAACAAGATGTGGGACTGAGTGGACTCGTAGGCTCTAAAGTTTTACAGTGTTTTGTTTTTGAATGCAGTTATGTAACAAAAAAAAATCTACATTTGTAAATTGCACTTTCACCATAAAGAGATTGCACTACAGTACTTGTATGAAGTGAATTGAAAAATACTCTTTTGTTTTATACAGTGCAAATATTTGAAATAAAAATATAAAGTGAGCACTGTATAGTTTGTATTCTGTGTTGTAACTGAAGTCAGTATATTTGAAAATGTAGGAAGTATTCAAAACTATTTAAATCAATGGTATTCTATAATTCTTTAACAGTGCGATTAATCGTGCAATGAATCACAATAGTTTTTTTAATAGTTTTACAGCCCTACTAATAAGTTTTATAAAACAGCTATGCTGTTAATCTATGTGGTGACTGCTGACATATTAGCATTTTTGGTACGAGGTTAAATGATGTACTAGTTATCTAAATAAATACTTTTCCTACTATGATAAAGAAATGTTAGAAGAAACTTGCAGTCCTTTGACATTCCAGTTTTTAATAACAAGGAAAGGGACTAACGCAGAACAGATATGTATTCTCATGGGAAATTAAGTACATGATAGAGAAGCAGTCTGAGTGTGTTGGTAATTCCTTCTTGTTCTGAAGTTCAGTATCACCAGACATTTTGAAAATATTTGAGATAAAACAAACTGACTCCTCCTCCTCATCTAAAGTTTGATTAATTTGCTCCTTGAAAAACTGCAATATGAGCCCTATTGTTGTCTCTCTCTTACTGAAACCAATGGCAAAACTTACACAGATTTCTATGGAATCAGGATCAGTCACTGAATCAGTATATTTCACAGTGTCATTTTTTTAATTCATTTACCTAAATTATAGTTTCTTATCAGCCTTTTTAATATTAGGCCTGTTTTTTTTCCAAGACCACCTATGGCATTTGGACACTCATTTCTAAGTAAAATTAATGGAAACTGGGTGTTCAAATCACCTAAGCAGCTTTGCAAATTTTATTCTTAATCTGCATTTTATATAGGCATAGTCAGTTGTTTTCTTAATATTGCTCATTTGCTGGCAGTGCTGTTATGAAATTAAATAAAAAAAACCATTTTGGGACACAAACTAAAAAGAACATGTTTGTTCTACTTATTGTAAATCAATTGAATACATATGTCCTGATATATTAGGATCCCATTAAACATATTTGTTTTCAACATTACATCAACTTCATAGAAAAGTCTTTCACCTCCTTGTTACTAGCAGTATAATTTTATAGAATTTAGAAAAGAAAGAAATCCATTATGTCAGTCTGTCCCCAATTCTGTGTAATGCAGCATTGCTTTGTGCAGACACTTAAAAAATAAAAAGTGCTTAAGGCCCAGATCCTCAAAGGTATTGGTGCTTAATTCCTATTGTGGAGTGACTTGCCCAAATACCTTTCTAGCGCTTGGAATAAGTTTTAATTTTGACTAGCCTAGGCCTAAACACTTATTGTAGCAAAATTCTTCCTAATATTTAGCCTAGATTTTATATTCCTTAATTACATCCAATTATACCTAGTTAATAATCACCTGATACCGCTTGTCACAGGGTCACTCACCACACTGTTGCCTCATGCTGGGCCTTTTGGGAATTAGCTCAGTCCCAGCGGGTGCACCTCGGGTGATAGTGGCTCTCCTGTTCTCGCCTACAGACTTGTTATGGCTCCTTCCTCTCTGCGTCTGCTTCGTAGCACAGTCCTTTGACTGCGTCACCATCCGGTTTCCCCCCCTTATGGGGGACTCTTCCAATAAGAGTCCAGCCACTCCTCACAGCAGCTTGGCTAGTGGCGGGCAGGCCACTACATCTCTACTTCCATGAAGTCTTGAACTGTTACTTGATGTTCTTTGTTTCATTAAAATGTGTTATATTGGATAACAAGTATACTGTATATAAACTAATAACCTCTTAATTTTTAGGACAAATATTCATATATTGGTCCATGTGGAGGACAAGATTGTTCAGTTTGCCAGTGCTTTCCTGTAAAAGGATCAAGAGTAAGTGATTTAATATAACAATAATTGTTATTGAAAAACATTGCTCATTTTGTGCACATCTCTTATTTAAAATCACTAGGGCTGTTGAACACTGGGAGCTCAAATAAGAAAGTCCCAACTTGGCAAGATAGGAAACAGATCTAAGTCTGCCCATTGGTGTGAAGTCCAAGCACTTGCACTATCAAAGCAATTCAAGACCATAGGTCATTTCTAGGCAGACTAGCCCACAGAGAAGGTCAGGTTGTAATAACATAACTTTCATTTGAAAGTGATTAGAGACTTTTCAGGATGAGCAGGACAATTAGAAAAATGTCATTTTTAAGGCATCTTCAGTTTGGAATCTGTCCACCTTCTCAGATGTCCTCTGAATGGCCAGTCAAAGGAGAGTATGTTTTTGCCATTTTATAATTGTATTTTTGCAGAAACCTAGGTTATTTTTTATCTTCATGTTGATCTGAAATTTGTTTTGGTTCTCCTAATCTTTTATCACCTTTTCATGATTTTCAGTACACTAGATAAGTGTCCTAGGTATAAGAAAATTTGAGTTATTTCAGTGTATTGAGTTTAAAATGTGAAATTCAGCAGGTGTGGTTTTTTAGTTAATATTGTTAGGACTAGTAATTTAAGTATCTCCTTAGACAGAAATGTTACATAGTAGTCACTAGGTATGAATTTTGAAATACTACCAGCTTTTGGCAGTTTACACAAGTTGCTATTTGTTTATAAGTATGTGGGCTTTCTGTTACTGATTTATAAATTTGATAAAGACAAGGTAGGTGAGGTAAAAATTTTTTTGGATGAACTTCTGTTGGTGGAAGGTGCGACACTATGCCCCATATACTTCATAGAAATATTGTTATAATATTATTATAGCATATCTAAAATATATTTTATGCAAGATGGGTCTTGTGAGGTATCATTGGAAAGGTTATGATTTACTGAATATTATTATCCTATTTGTATGCATGTATCATTTTTGTATATAAAGTTAGGAATATTGATTATACATCCGTACTACAAAAGTGTTGCACGTGGTTGAACACTGACCAGACAAAATATAATCAGTCTGGCTGGTTAGCTGGGGACAAGTCAATGAACCATTAGGGAGGACAGTATGTCTTTGAAGATGCTAATCTCCCACCTTCCTGAGAAGCTTCCTGGGGTGCTACAAACAGCCTTTGACTCATGTCTGCTTTGACACTGCAGGGTCATGTGATCACATCACCTGGTACTGGACTCCATGATAGAATACCAGTATTTTTCCACTTGGGGAAGGGGGGAACCACACTGAAAAACAAAGGATTCCTGCCGTATGTAAATTCTATTTAAGACAGGGAAGTGAGATGATTGGGGTTCATTCTTCACTGAATCTCTGCCCAGGATGACTGCTGGAAACATCTAAGAAACAAAGACAAGGTTGGGGGAGGGGGGAGTCCAGCCTGGAAAAAGTGTCTGGCCTGTGAAAGAAATACCTGGAGTTTTAAGCTACAAGCAAGAGCAGCCTGTCTTCAAGAACCACTGCAATCTGCTAAAAACAACTCTTAGGATGATAAATTACTACTTGTAACCAGTTTCTTTAGTATATTAAGCTTAGTTTGCGGGTTTCTTTTATTTGCTCAGTAATCTGCTTTGATCTGTTTGCTATCCCTTATAATCACTTAAAATACATCTTTTGTAGTTAATACATCTGTTTTTGTTTTCTCTAAAACCAGTTTGTGGAATTCATAACTCGTCCGGGGGAAAGCTGTGTATATCTTCCTCCACATTGACAGAGGGGGCGAATTTCATGAGTTTACACTGTACAGTTCTCTGTGCAGCGCAAGACAATACAATTCTGGATTTGCACCCCAAAGGAGATGTGCACTTCAGTGCTGGGCAATTCCTTAGCTGAGTCTTCCCATGCAGAGCTGATTTCAGTGTCTGTGTCTTTCTTCAGTTGAGTGTGGCCCTACCTGTGTGTGTGCTGCAGGAGGCTTGAGGGGCCTGGCTCAGCAGGACAGTGTAAGGGAGCCCAGGTTTGTGGAACAGGCGGGCTCAGTGGTATCCCAGTATATCAGATGGCACCCCAGAGTGGGGGTGGGCAACCTGTCACAGAAGGTCCAAGTTTTCAAGCTACACAGAAGCTTTTCTTCAGGTCTGGGGAAGGAAGTGGAGTATCTGCACTAAATACACATTGGGACAGCTTGTTAAGCAGAAGTGGTAACATATTTGAGTTGGACATTTGAAATGAAGTTGGCAGTGGGGGCTAGATTGTTATACAGAAAGGGTTTGAAGTGGGCAAATAAGAGTAGCAGGCAGTGTGGTGTGTTACAAATTGTTGTAAAGAGCTATAAAACCAGTGTTCCTGTTAAGTCCATGGTTTTTGGTGTCTAGGAAAGCTATGAATGTAAATTCCCAGGGTTGCCTTTTGAAGGTGTTGTACAAGTTTCGTTTGAGGACAAGTATTGAAAGATCAGATATGGAGCGATCGCTTTGTGAAAAATGTTTGCCTGTGGTTTTTGTCTTTTATCATTTTTCTGTATGAGTTCATTTGAGAGCATAGTGATTGTCTGGTTTCACCTGCATAGTTGTTACAGGGGCATTGGGTATGATAAACATGTGTAGGACCCAGGAATCTTGAAAGGTGTGATGTGGGGGCTATTGTTCATCGTAGGCATGGAGATATGTTCACAGGTTTTGCATCTGTTGTTCGGGCAGGGTCTGGTGCTGCTTTGAGTTGGTATGTCCCGGCTAGGTGGGGAGCTTGCTTCTGATGATAAGCTTAACAAAGTTGGGGGCTTGTTTGAAGGCCAGAAGATGGGGGAAAGATTTCTTTTAGGATGTGGTCCCCATCAAGTATGGGTTACAATTGTTTGTTACCATATGGAGTCCAGTGTGGTGTGGGAGGTGACAGCTAAGGGGGTGTGGTCAGTAGTTTTGGGTTTTTTATTTGTGAAGGTGGCTTTTCTGCAGCTGAGTGTGTTTAGTTGTTATCCTGGACACTCTCTTCGGCACCAGTTCTGTGGTATCTGAGTGCTTAGCTGTAGATAAGAGATTTCTTGGTGTGTCTGGGGGGTTGCTGGAACTGTGGAGGTAAGTGCCATGATTAGTGGGTTTCTTGAATAAAGCTGTCTGCATTGTTCCATTATTTAAGATAATTGTGGTATCCAGAAAGTTGATGCTGGGGTGGGAGTTTGATGGATGGGTGGTGGTGGTTTAAGTTGTGGTGGAAATCTAAGAGGGAGTTTAGGTTGCCTGTACAGTGGATGAAAATATCATCAATGTATCTCACGTATTACAGTGGTTGATGGTGCATTTTTCCAGAAATTCTTCCTTGAGGTGGCCCATGAAGAGGATGGCATATTGGGGAACCATCCTAGTACTCCTGGCTGTTCCCATGGTTTGGACAAAGGGTTTATTGTTAAATGTGAAGATGTTGTGGGAGAGAATAAAATGGATGAGTTTGGTGATGTTTTCTGGCGATGTTATAATATAAATTGATGTCAGCTCCACCTCAAAATATGTAGCAATGCAGTGATAGAAAATGTAAGTTAGGAGTGTGATTGAGATAGGAGATTCAGAGAGTAATGCGGGACTATTGATGTGGGTTTGGATACATTTGGATACATTCCCTGATTTGCAAGTAACTGAAAGACTGATTTAGGAATGAAATGTTTTTCTTTCAAGTCATTAAATGTCAGAATTTTGGGGCAAATAAGAAAACCTAAATATCATGGATTAATTTAAAGAAAAACACATAAAGTTAGGGAGTCCTTATTAATGAATGAAGTTTTATTCTAATCATAGTGGGACATGTTTTCACTAGTTGGGAACAAAATTGCATATAAATGAAATTGAGGTGTAGTGATTTGCACTAATTTAGACTCAATATGTTCTGACATTGCTCTGCCAGACCCTGAGATGTCAGTATCTGCTGGAGATGAGAAGGCACATCCCTAAGTCCTCTTCACAGTGGCGGTTCAGATGATGAAAAGAACTAGGCGGCACAGAAAGCTCTCCCACACATGCAGGTGGAACAGGTTCAGCCCTGGCTGTTCCCTGCTTTCTCCTTCATGGTTAGTGGCTTTGTGAATCCCAGATAGCACCATCAGTGCAGGTTCTGTTTTATGCCTTCTATCTTTGCTTGAAGGCAGGGCTGAGGTAAACATATAGGTGGCTGACGCATGTGCAATGCTGTCTTATTCCAGAGTTATGCACTATCAGTTTATCTGTTGGAGTGGGAGGCCAGTAAACACACAGCTGGTCTCTGGGCATAGGATGCCTTTATTTGCATGAAACACGCTCTTTTTCCCTCTTATACTATCCTTTCCCCAGTCTTAGGATGCATATAACTAGTAGATGTGCCCCTCCTCTGGTTTTCTCCACTGCTGTGAATTTGAGCACATCTTCAAAGCACTATACCCTTGAGATGTGCTCCATTGTGATTTCACTTTCTCCTCTTTGCGCAGGAGTACAGAATTTGGCCCCATGTTCTAAAATAACGATTATAATAAACATTTCTAACAGGCCAGTATTTATACACATGCTGTTGTGCAATACAGTATATTTAATATGCTTCAGTGTAACTATAGCTATATAATTTACTTCTATCACAAGTGAATATTATATGTAAATTGTGTAATTTAATCCAGCACACACACTGAAAGATGCAAACTGTATTAGGAAATGCCAGGAGGAATCCCAGCTAGAATCTCAAAGAATGCATGCTACAGCACTAACATTACTACCTGTTCAGCTCTTGCTCCTTTCCGCTCCCAGCGAACTCTGCTAGCCAGTGTGGAAGGGGTTCAGGCCATGGCCCTGCCCTTTCCCTGTGTCTCCCTATGCCCTTTAAGGGCTTAGACCAACTTCCGTTAAAAGAAGGACTCCCATTCCCTGCCCCCTCATACACCAGCATAAGGACAGGCACAGTTGAACTCTAGGGGCCAGATTCTCAGCTGATGTAAATTGGCCTAGCTCTGTGGATGTCACTGGAATTAGGCTAATTTACACCATTTAAG